AATTTTGTTCGTATCTGAAAAAAATCGTAGAATATGAAAACATTGGTGAATGCCACAAATTCTCCTAAATCACTCGTACGCACAACTTAACAACAAATCTGTGTACGAACGGTTCTTGCATGAGGGCCACCGATTCTATGCAGGAAATACCAGGTAGAGCTGAAGTTAAACTTGAAACATTAAAGTTAAATCACAACCACGATGCTCCGAATGTTTTGTATCGTCTCATCAGGTCGAGCACATATGTGACAGGCAGTCCTTCAAGGAGGATTTTCCACTTTCAAACTGCTGAGCTGTAAACAGCCTGCTGCAACACGCAGACGTGTTTGAAGAAACTCATTAAAACACATAAAGCTCAAAAACCAGACGTTAGTTTGAACGTTTGTGTTCCTGTAGGTGTCAGAGCTGAAGTCAGCAGATCCTCCTAAGCTCTGACAACGTTCACCGTAAACAACCAAACCACGAGCTGAGGTTAGAGACTGTAAACACACACACACACACACACACACACACACACACACACACACACACGTTTGTGTGAGGCTGAGTTAATGTATATGGTGGGTACACACCCAGCAGGTCTCATTGCTGTTCATGAGAACAAGCCCCCCAGGATCAACCAGCAGGAAGCATCAGTCTGCCCCTCCCTCCCTCCATCACTGAAGCTCCTCCAAACGTCACTTTTTAACTTACAGAAACTTCAGAGAGCTGACAGGCCCCGCCCTCATCTACATCTTTATCTCTGTTGTTTAATAAGATCAGTCCAGATTAAAACATCCTGATCTGTCAAACTAAATCTGTCACCGCCCCCTGGTGGTCACATTTAAACATGACATGAAGGAAATGATGTTTAATTTAAATAAAATACCTTCACTCACGAGCTGTTTATATATTTATATATAAACTTTTACAGCTTGATGGAAGCTGAAGGTTCGATGTTTTAACGGCCGAAGCTCACAGATCAGAGAACAGGAGCCGAAGGATTTATTCTGCAGATTATCTCTTTAGCTGACATCTGTCGACTGAAGGGATCCAGACTCTGAGTCCACCTGAAGACCCACAACCTTTCTGCTCCTCAGTCAGAACATGAACCGTTTCAAGATTTAAACGAGTCGAAGTTCACAGAAGATCCTGGAAACTTGTTTTTATTCAGCTTAAGTTTAGCTGTTTCAAACACTCATCTGTCAAAACTTTCAGCTTCTTTTGGTTTTAATGACCTTTAGATTGTTTTACTTTAATACTTCCATACCTGCTTCAGTTTTTAGCTTTTAACTACCTTTTAGCTGTTGCTTTACTCATTTTAACATGTGGACTTATTTAGCTGATTTTAGCTTTTGTTAATTTTAGCTTTTGGCTACGGATCTGCTCATTTGAACCCTTAGTATTTGTTTTCATAAGATTACTGTATAGCTACAGTTTGCGTTTAATTTTTAGTTACCATTTTGCTGAATTTAGTTGATTTCTATAAGGTTTGCTAATTTTGGCTTTTAGCTTCTGTTTTCATAGTTTTGTTAATTTTAACTTAACTATTTTGCTCATTTTTTCTTTTAGCTGTGATTCTACAAATTTTACATTTTAGTTTATGTTTTGCCAGTTTTAGTTGTTGCTTTACTCAAGTTATCTTGCAGCTTTTATTTAGCAATTTTAGCTTCCAGCTCCTGTTTTGCTAAATTTAACTTTTAGCTACAACTTTGTTATTTTGGACTATTTGTTTTTGTTTTAGCTTTTAGCTACAGTTTTGCTAGTTACAGCTTTCAGTTACGGCTTTGCTAATTTAGACTTTTAGCTTCTTTTTACAAAGTTATAGCTTTTAGCTAAAGTTTATTCATTTAGCGTTTTTTACAGTTTTTGATCACGTTAGCTTGTAGCTTTGTTTTTGACAGTTTAAGCTTTTATCTTCTTTTTAGGAATCCAAACATTTGTTTTGGTAATTTAAGCTTTTATTTTGCTAAGCTTTAGGTTTTGTTTTAATGATTGAAGCTTTTATTTTGCTAAGTTTAGATGAATTAGTGTAAAATAATGTGGATGTTTCAGAACAGCAGCTGTGTGAAGCCGACAGAGTCTAACTCTTATTTCTGCTGCTAACAGAACAATCATTTCTGAACTCTTCAGCTCAGAGTTTTTCAGCAGCTGTTTGAGGAGCGTCCAGATGGGCCTCATCACAAACCATGATGCTCGATGACAAAACGCTGGGAATTCTGGGAAAGCTGGTCGCTCTTCAGAGGCACAGCTGCAGAACAGAAAGACAAGAGCAGCTCTGATGATCGTCTTCATCAAAACCCATCAGTGATTCAAACAGAAAGCATTCTCTGCTTTTATTTTGAAAAACAGTTCTCTGTGGGGTGCTATTTGTAAAGTTACATAGTCAAAAATTACCAAAAATATTTTTGTTTTATTTAGACTTTTATAAGAAAAAAAGAACAGATTTATTTTTCAAAGTCA